TATATAATATAAATATTAGATATAGATTTATAGATTATAGCATTTGAAATGTTGTCTTTGCAACTAACTGAAATCAGTTTAAAGTACTAAAATTACTCTAACAAAAAAAATTAAATAAATTACAATGAAAACTGAAAACATAAAATAAAAGCAAATTTAAAATATTGATAAGTACTGTAACAATATATAATAATTCTAAAATAACATTATGGAAATTGTGTTTTAAAAGGCCTGGACGAGACATGAACAAAATATATATATATATATATATATTTTATCTTAAAAGTAATGGATATTAATTGATCAAAACAAAGGTGTGGGAACCTTATAGATGGAAGTATCGTATGCTAGATTGTTGAACCAAGACAAACACATTTCAGTGTTTTTGCATGAATGCATGCATTCCCCTGTCTGAATGCTCCCCCCTCCAGATCCTCAGGAAGTCCAGCCCAGAGATTCGAGGTCGTGTCCGCAGGATGGGCAGCAGAGAGATGCTGACCGAGGCTAGTCCCCACTTCATGTCCACCTTCCTGCCTGACCCCGCGAAGGTGAGCTCATGTCATGCTCCCCAGTGGCTTTCCTTTCTTAAAAACACCATTCATCACTTACCAGATATTGGACTAGTGTCAAAAGAGAAAACTAAAATTGCATATAAGTCTTTGACAACACTTTAAATAGAGGAATGTCGTTGCATTGCTATTTTATTATGTAATGCAGTGGGATGCATCCATTTGCTAATAGTTTGTAGAGACTCAAAACTTTGCAGTAAAGATGAAAAACTCCCTCAGACTAACACAACTCTTCCCCTGACTGAACCCGCATTCATGCAGAAGAACGGCCTGATTTGGCGCAACCATTTTTCCAGCAGTTCAGAATCATCTTGCAGCAGCTCAATGGCACATTGTGGTAATATAACTAGTGTAGTTTACTTGAAAGCAACTGTCAGAATCTAGTTGATTTGAATAATTAATTTGTGTCAGACATGTGACCTTGATATAAAAAAAACAAAGATGGTAATTGGTGGTAAAGTAGTTTAATAACCCTTTACAGTAAGGTTCAGCTCGATAACATCAGTTAATTAAAATGTAATTTTTATTGTTTTATTTATAATTAAGCTATTTGTAATTCATATTTTTTCATAATGCATTAACTAATTATTTTTCTTTAAATATGTTAAAAAATTCTTGATATATGTAGTGATTATTTATTGTTAATTCATGACAGGGGTATTTAGGATTATTTAAACACCACTCGACTATTTATAAATATTTTGATTTAATAATTGTATGTGTTTTTGCCATTTTTTTATTAGTTTTAAAAATTTCTATTTATCATTAATTTATTTTTATTTCAGTTGTAGTACTATTTTTTATTTTTATTTTTTTATCAGTTAGTTGCAAAGGCAACATTTCCAAGAATTTCATCTAATATTTCTTTTACTTCAGCTTAACAAAATTAATTTGTAATAGTTTTAATGAACAATAACATGTTCATGGTACCTAATGTATTAACTCGTGTTAAAGAATTTAACTTATTGTAAAGTGTTAATAGTAGTTTCAGTGTTTTGGCAGTGTTTATAGAAAAACTGGCACAATTAGTAGTTTGTGTTGGAGATTGTCCTGGACTGGTAGTGTTGTAGGTTTTTGTATTTGGAATCATGGATCTCAAATTCTCAATGTGAAAATACAGCGGTGGTGACCCCGAGTAGATGCATTCAATCTCATTATAATCCAGTCAGTGCTAAAACGGGCCTTTACCTGTAGTTTTAAGGCCAATTCATACGGCACCGACAGACAGACACCAGATTATAGTCATTTCTTCCAATCAGCGAAAACAAGCTCTGAACGATGCCAATAGGGATCCGACGAAACCTGACGCTGTCTTATCGGTGCGGTGTGAATTGGCTTTAAGGGGCCATTCACACAGAATGTGTTTTTTGCTTTAGTTGAACTTCTTTTAACTTGAGTCCCTCTTTTTCCTCTAAAACACATATTCAAATGTCTTTCAGGTAAAAGTGCTGTCACAAGTGGAGGCGTCGAGGGGGCACTACGACCCCTCTCGAAACTACGACTCTCGTTCAAGCAGTCCCGCAAGCAGCGAGCACCCACGCAGCCAGGACTCTCCGGCAAAAATCAAGCCCCCTCCTCCCCCACAAGCACTCAAGCCTACCTTCGCGTCCCGCAGCTCCAGAGGCCTCGTAAACAGCCCCCCGGTACGGGACAATGAACCCCTGGGGGACAGTCCCGACGATCCTTCTCAGAGGTCTTTCCGGGGCAAAGTGAAGGCCTTCGAGCAGATGGATCACTTCGCCCGGAACCAGAGAGTTCTGGAGATCCAAGAGGCCCAGAATGCCAGGGTGAGTTTTCATCATCTTTAGGCTTTGCATGAAGACCAGTACAACGGCTTTTCGTCAGTCTCTCCTCTGATGCTAGGTTGGGAGAGTAGCATACTCATTTTAGACAATTTGCAATGCCCTCCCTCACACTCATCATCCATAGCAAAATCATTCTGTGATGAATCGGTAGGAATTTTCAATTCATTGTTTAATTTGTGTTGTCCTGTTGTCTGTAAACCTGCTTTGGCACAAAATATTTGCATATTGTAAAAAAATACAACATTAAATCGAAGGCTATACAAATAAATTGAATGGAATTTAAAATTGTAAGTTGTTTAATTGAAGGGTTATTGCTGTTAAGTAAAACTATTAAAAACATTTACGTTAATTGAAATAAAGCGGAAATTGAACATTTCAACTAAATGAAAATTAGAAATGTTGCCCTTGCAATAAACTGAAATAAGTTTTAAGTTAAAGCACTAAAATTATTAACTGGAAATTAATAAAAAAAACTAAAATGAACTAAAACTAAATTTAAACCTAAATAGCAATATGTGTAAAATAATAAAATTACAAAGCACAAACCGAAATTACTCAAATTAAACAATAATTAACATGAAAACTACACTCTAAAAAATGCTGGGTTGTCTTAACCCAATTTTGAGTCAAATATGGACAAACCCAAATGTTGGATTAAAAAATGCAATTAATAAATTGAACCCAAAAGCTGGTTTTGTCCATATTTGACCCAAAATTGGGTTTAAACAACCCAGCATTTTTTAGATTGTAAAAATATACAAATTAAAGCTAATTCAAAATATTAAAAAAGTGATAGTAAAAAATAAAATGAAAGAACGAAATAAATTAAAAGAACACCGCTGGGCAGTCATCTACTGTATATGCTGGGTAGGTTGACAAAAACTAATTTTAGCAGTTAAAAAATAAATGAAAATTCATATTAAAGTTCTATATTTATTATTTAACACACTATATATTAAATATAAAATTATAAATCAAAATTTACACTCTTCTGGAAAAATCCCAAAAGTATTGATGATTTACATTGATAGTAAAATTGTTGTCTAATAAAAAAGAGAATTGTAAATACCAATTGCATGTACTGTAGCAAACCACAGATCTGATTGACACATTTTCTGCCAAAATATACAATAATCAATTCTGATGCGTTCATACTGTATTGTTTTTTTTCAGGTGGAGATTGCTCAGAAACATCCAGACATCTATGCCGTCCCCAAGAAGTCTCAGAAACTGGACCACAGCAGGCCACAACCTATCGGGTAAGAGTTCTGCAATGGTGTTGACTTATGAATTTGCACATGGCTTGTCTTAAAGCATATTAAAATATATTTATTTATAGGTACACATATTTTCACCACAGGGGACTTTAAGACTTTTGTTCATTGTAAAATAAATCCATTTGAATTGAGCAGTTTAATCAAGTCTGAAGAGACATGATCACTTTTTAAAGGGATACTCCACTTTTTTTGGAAATTGGCTCATTTTACAACTCCCCAAGAGTTAAACAGTTGAGTTTTACCGTTTCCGAATCCATTCAGCCGATTTTCTGATATTTAGAAGAATATCAGTAACCAGACCGTTTCTGGATTCATTGACTTAAATATCAGAAAATTGGCTGAATATATCTGAAAACTGTTTAACTCTGGGGGAGAGGTAAAATGAGCCTATTTCCAAAAAAAAGTGAAGTATCGTTTTAAGATGGACAGATTTGGGATAGTTCATCGACAACCTTAAATTCTGGTTGTTCCAAACCTTTAAGAATTTATTTCTTCTGCTGAACACAAAAGTAGAAAGTCGGTAACCAAACAGTTGATGGAAATTCATACAGGTTTGGAACAACTTGAGGGTAAGTGAGTAAATTTCATTTCATTTTTCCCTATCAGTGTGAAAAAGTGTGCAAAATTTTTCACTGATCTTGCGCCGTTTGCTTTGCGTCCAGCTCCAGTGCGCGACCGGAGCCCCAGACGCCTCCTTCCAAGCTGCCATACATGGAGAGCCGCCCGCCCGGCCTTGGAGAGGAGCCCGGGGAGGAGAATCGACAGCAGCTGGCGGAGCAGACCAAGCGCGGCTATTACAACACAGCACAAAAGTATCAGGACACTGAGCTGTAGAGTTCCTCTGCTTCGGCTCACCGCACAGCTTCACCATTCCACCGGGGCGCCACCCTGCACCAAAACTGCTGCTGCTGACTTGGAAGTCCCATTAGCTTTTAAGTTTCCCATGCGTATATTTGTCTTTTTCACTTCAAAGAAGTTCAACTTTCTGTCCGTGTGGATAGAATCTTAAATTTGCATTGGTTTTGTTTCCTTCCGTGCGATTCCAGAACCACGTTTCCTTGCCTATGCAATTTTTTCCGTGTCTGCAACGCCACAGAAACGTCTCACCACGAGTCACTCTCTCTGTCTTCGCTCCATGAAAACCTTAAACCTGTCGTGTGCTACAAACCAGCTTTTTGTTACTTTCTTTTTATAAGCCTGAAGCAAAACTGTTTTAAAAACGTCACTCTCTTTAAGGTTTATACTACAGTATCGTTGCATTCCTTCATTTCTGATCATGTGTGTTATATGATGTAAGACAATACACTGGATTTTGTTACAACATTTTGAAGTGCCTTTTACTTTACGAATAATGTTGGAGGTTTGTGGACTTGACAATCCAGCCCTCTGGACAATATTTTTGCTGCTTACAGCTCCAAGGAAAAACAGGGAAAACGTCAACACCAAAACCCTTAATACCGTCCGCCCGTCTCCTCAGTGTAGCGACAGCGACGACAAATGAGTTCTGTTTCCGAAGGGACGCTTCACAATTCAGGTGGATGCTGGATGGTTCGAGCTATGGGAATCGCTGATGTCACGGTTCGTCTTATTTCAACTCCACTGCATTACGTTTTTAACATGCTTGATTGTAGGTTAGTCCGCTTTACCTCCACGCATTGGTTCAAAGTGCTTCTAAAACTCGTGGATTATATTTTGATGGCTTCCACTGTGTGTGAGGGTCACACGGCGAGAGAATTTTCCCTGGACTTTCACGTTCAGATCTACTGTGGAATTTCACTCTACTACACCAAATAAAATAAACTATATTGACATTCTTGACTTAGTTGTGTGTTTTTTTTTTATATTCAAACAGGAAATATTTTGGAATCCATCACACACAGTAGGCTATAAATGAAATGGATCGATTTTTGTACAATTAAAAGGATAGTTCACCCAAAATGAAAATTCTGTGAGCATTTACTCACCTCAGGTCATTAAACCTGATATTTTGAAGAACGTTGAAAATTGTGAGCCTATTGACTTCCATTGTATGGACAAAAAACGCATTTGTCGAGATATATTTTACCTAAAAGAAAATCATACAGGTTTGAAGAAACATGAGGGAGAGTAAATGAAGATTTTTGGGTTTTAGTTGTTTCTTTAAACACCACAACAGAAAGTTATGTCTGCACTGAAAATGACAATCCAACCCCTACTAGCATCAAATAAGCATGACTTCTTTGTTCTATACAGAGTAAATTGACTGTATTTTACTGAGGTTTCCCGTCTGTATGGTATAAGCAATGGAAATTGATTCTGTCATGAAGCGAAGTGGTTGTATTGGGTCCAGTGAGTCGGCTCTTGTCCAGCTCGGTGTTGAAGCCGTTTTCTCTGTACATGCCACTTTTCAGAAGATGCTCAGAAAACTTCCGACGACTTCCTTTAAAGATTGTCTGAAAAATAAACGGTGGGTGTAAATACCAATGTGTGAATAATCTTATTGGCAGTGTATGGTGTGTAACGTTAGGCTACTTACCGGCATTTCATGAACTGTTGGTTTTTTGCTTCCATATGTTTGACTTGTTGTTTGGTACAGAGGGTTGATCTTTTTTTGGCTGAAAAGTATAATTAAGGCTTATTAGAATCATTGATATTGGTATAATAATTTGATTTACTCATTTCTATGTCAATGGATAAATGACTTTATCTAGATAGATTCTAATAAGCCTCATCTATGCCTCTAAAGAGAATATTCGTATATTTATAAGCTTCATCATGCCTCTAAAGAGCATATGAAGAGTTCAGATGCAAAAGCCTCTAAATGCCATTTGAAATTTTCTTCTAAAATGATCATTTTTATCAAGCTTGCATATTTAAGTTCAGTGATTTCACTTAAATGGCAATGATAATTAGCTGTTAATTGTTATTTAAGTGAAATTACTGAACTTAAATATACAAGTTTGATAAAAATCATCATTAAAGAAGAAAATTTCAAATGGCATTTAGAGACTTTTGCATCTGAACTCTTCATACATTCGTATATTTATATGAATTAAATAAATAAATGTGACGTTATTTCAGGTTTCGATCACATGATGCACTGCGGCTGAATGATCTTCTCACCTATATCCTCTGAAACACTCCGGATTATTAAAGCGAGCTGGTAAGTTTTTATCCACATTGTACACATCGCTTGTCTTTATTTCAAATGTATCATTAGCTAACAGTTCAGGCTCCGTCCTTGTCCCTTCATCTGCGGAATGATCGTCCATCATGTTTCCGTTAGTGGGTCGATGCTCACATTAGACTTCCCCTGCTGCGAGAAGAAGTATGAGTGATTGGTTGCTATATCAACACTGTAACTAGGTGACGTCATGTGCCTCCGCTCAGTCTTTAATTTCTTCACAAATTGTTTTTCAAAGAAAGAAAAAGAAGTCAGCATGTAAGTAAAACTCTTTGGTTTCACAGACAGAGGTTAGCTAGGAATAGGCCTTTTAGGCTTGTAGCTTTTAAACGTGCCCTAGAAAAAACATGAACGTTTCTGTTGTGCAGCCTGAGACAAAACAATGCAATGGCACTAACTCATTTTAATATAGGCCTATGTCAGTGCAAGTTGCTTTCAATTAAAATCAATTATATACTATATATTTCAATTATATACTATATATATATATATATATATATATATATATATATATATATATATATATTTAATTAAACCACAACAGGCCTTTCTACTGAGTGAAAACTTAAAAAAATGCTCCGACAATCTCTTTCTAGTAAGTAAGTAAGTAAAGTTATAACACATTTAAAACAGCTTGTACTGACCAAAGTGCTGTACATAATCCTGGCCACAGGTTAATAAAACACAGAATAGAAATAGAAATAGGTACATTTACACACAAATTTAGTTTAGACTAAAACAATACAGAGAGACAGCAGGTTTCTCAAATATATTTTATTGCATTCAAATTTAACCAAACATTAAATGCTCAAAATATCAACCATTTTGTATGATTTTTATTTAATAAAACATATTTAAACATGGTATTCACATTACTATTTTCTTATTTGCATCAATTGCATCTTACATTGTGATGACGGAATCTGTTTTGTTACAAAAGCAAAAAGATTATAATGAACATTGAAGTTTGCAAAAGGATGTCATATGTCCACGGACCTCTCAACCTAGAAAAAAAAGGCAAAAGAACAACCGATTCAACCATCATTGATTTTTTTGCAAAATATTTTTTTATATTTAGTTAGTTGGACATCATACAACCACGTCTAAATCACTCCTTAACATTTGCATTTAGTAGTTTTTATACATTAGGAAATAATAATAAACCACAGATTTATAGCCAGGTACAGTAAACTCTTGATTTCTGCTGGAGGTGATGCTCACATGTTCAGACTAACAAAACAATACAGTGTGTCCATCTTCAAGTGCAGTTTCATAAAAAAAAAAAAAGGGAATTGAATAACGCCAGGGAATATATGTGTGAGCATGGTTCGGTTTTGATGCAAGTGCAAGTGTTAATTTATGCAAACATTCATATTAAAATATTTCCTCTTTATTCATTTGCTCCCAAACCTGCCTTGAGTTTCTCCACGCTGATAAACACACTGCCACAGTGCATTATTACTCACGGTACGAGTTTGAGTCTGGCCTAGCGCGTACCAAAAGTAATAATGGACTGTGAAGCAGTTAAAACGGCTTCTTTCTTCTCATCAAGGCATGAAATTGTAAAATTAAACCATATATATTGTTTAAAACACGTCGAATTTTAACATATTCGTAAATTGATACATTTATGCAGACTTTACCTTTTGCAGACTTCAGAAGTAGCATCTTAGTTTTTATTAGTCCTCTTTAGTGGCCCTCAGAGGTGCCTGATACATTCTGAGAGGTTAAAGGGATAGTTCATCATTTACTCACCCAAACCGGTATGAATTTCTGCTGAACACAAAAGAAGATATTGTGAAGAATGTTGGTAAGCAAGCGGTTGACGATTGCCATTGACTTCCATAATATTTCTTTTCCTACTATGGAAGTCAATGGCTGCTGTTAACTGTCTGGTTGCCAGCATTTTTCAAAATATACTGTATTCAGCAGAAGAGAGTGAATCATACAGGTTTTGAACAGTGAGTAAATGATGGCAAAATCTTCTTTTTTGGGTGAACTATCCCTTTAAATCCATCCATGGCTGCTGTGATGGAGTATAAAAACAAAATGTAATACTTTAAACAAAGCAATATTGTTACACTAATCTGAAATAACTTTGTTTAGAACATTGTTCCACTCTAATATGAATATAAATCCATGCAAAAAAAATTTAAAAAAAAAATTTATTTTAAACACTTCCACGCCCTACTTTTGTTAAAATTGCGCCCTCTGTTGGCAAATTGTAAAATGATGTGATCAGCTGACGTAGTTTGATTAAAAATAAATTATAAATCTGTTTCTAAAATGTTAATAAAATGTATAAAAATATAAAGCATTTTAAAATATTCATTAATTCTTATATTATTCTACAATTCTCGTATACTAGTTTTTCAAAACATTTCAAACAAATATGAAGTCAGGAAATACATCACAGATTGATTCATTATCACAACTTTAAGAGAAAAGCCGATGTCTTCATTTAAGAAATTTTCAACCGAAACAAACTGTAAACTCTACATTACAGTGATATTTTGTACATTTTATTCTGGGGCTTAAATAGCAACAATAACATAATTAAAGCATTTCCAAAAAGCAACGACATATTGTTCATTAAAGTCACAAAGTAGCATGTAATGTAAAGTGTGACCAAAAATTCTTGGAAAATTGTTTGTTGTAAACTCTACCTGATATTTATGGATCTGTTTCCAATTTGTGTCCAGCTGGTGAATCTGAGACATGAGGAGGTCCATAGACGAAGGATTGTGTTCCAGAAGCAGGACTTTGCTAATGTAGCTGATACCTCTCTTCAGACGTGAGAAATGAAATGCCTTTTTCGTGTAAGTGGTTCTTTTTATTTGACCTTCCTGTGGAAGTGAGGAATCAGGATGGTCATTCCCCAAACCGGAATTCCTGTGTGTGTTTGGAACTGATAAAACTGCTGCAAAGAACAATCTCCATCCTCCTAGAACTGCTGGAGTCTGTCAGTGAACTCTGAGAAGAATTGATCATTCTTTTGAAGTGGGAAGTTACGCACACTTAAGCAAAAATAACTGTTTTTAGAATTACTACATCTTCTAATTATATGTGTGACTTAAATATAAGTCAAATATATAATTAGATACTTTAGGGCTGTTGAAAACTGTGCTTCGAAAACACTTCAGAAAAAAGGTACAAAAGCTGTCACTGGGGCTGTACCTTTTCAAAAGGTAAACTTTTGTCAATTTTAGGTGCTAATATGTACATTTTAGGTGTTAATGTGTTCATTTTAGGTGCTAATAAGTACATTTTATTTGTTAATATGTAAATTTTAAGTGCCAATATGTATATTTTATGTGTTAATATGTACATTTTAGGTGCTGATATGTACATTTTAAGTGTTAATGTGTACATTTCAGGAGCTAATATGTACATTTTAGGTGCTAATATGTACATTTTAGGTGCTAATATGTACATTTTAGGTGCTAATATGTAAATTTTAGGTGCTAATATGTACATTTTAGGTGCTAATATGTACATTTTAAGTGTTAATATGTCCATTTCAGGAGCTAATATGTCCATTTTAGGTGCTAATTTGTCCATTTTAGGTGCTAATATGTACATTTTAAGTGTTAATATGTACATTTCAGGAGCTAATATGTCCATTTTAGGTGCTAATTTGTCCATTTTAGGTGCTAATATGTACATTTTAGGTACTAATATGTACATTTTAGGTACTAATATGTGCATTTTAGGTGTTAATAATGTCCATTTTAGGTGCTAATTTGTCCATTTTAGGTGCTAATATGTACATTTTAGGTGCTAATATGTGCATTTTAGGTGTTAATAATGTACATTTTAGGTACTAATATGTACATTTTAGGTGTTAATAATGTACATTTTAGGTACTAATATGTACATTTTAGGTACTAATATGTACATTTTAGGTCCAGAAAAGGAAAAGGTCCAGCCCCAGTAACAGTTTTTGTACCTTTTTTTCTGAGAGTGCATGGTGAACATGATTCACCAAGTTCACCACATTCCTGGATCAACATTTCTGCTGAGCCTGAAACAACATTCCAATCAACCAATCAGATTTGAGGGACAACTTTAGAGTTTATGTCAACTTTAAGCTTACAACTAAGGTTAGGTGCTTCTGTATCAGCGTGAGACTCACACAATTGACAATGTTTTCTAGAAATGGTTGTGCGTGAAAATCCCAGTAACTGAGCAGATTATGAAATACTCAGACCGGCCCGTCTGGCACCAAAAAACATGCCACTCTCAAAATTGCTTAAATTGCATTCCTTACCCATTCTGACATTCAGTTTGGAGTCCAGGACCACACCCCTAAATGCATTGAAGCAACTGCCATGTTCATGTTCATGAACTGCTCATTCATTCATGAAGAGCATGAATTCCCTGACAGAATAACAAAAAGACTAAAGCCGAATCCAGGACCATAACTGTCTCTTTTATAAAATATCACAAAGTATTATCACAGAAAACAATTGAAAATAAAGGGGAAACAAGAGGCCAACTGGTTTTAATTTATGTCTGAAGGTTAGCATGAGGAGGGAGACAGAAATGCAGCATTTCCAGTGTTGGAGGAAACAGGAAGCCACTGGTGGATGGAGATAGCAGGGCCTGCTGCATCTGAACAATAAAAATCTCACCCGCTCAGGAAAAGGATCTGCGTCAGCAGTGAGTGACAGATTTTAGAAAGACAAAATGGTGCCAAATCTAAAGTGTCGGGAGAAAATCAGTGTTTTCACTTAAAGACTTCAAGCACAATGCCGCGTTCCTTTTATTTCATCGAAAGTAAATTCAACGTTGTTCGAGAATTGCTGTTATGAAACACTTCCGTGGGCATGGTCAAACATTTCAGAAATGTAAACCATATCCTTTAAGCTTTTAACATTAACACAATACTTAGGCGCCCAAAGTATGTGGACACTTAAACTAGGCTCGACTAGGCTTAAAATAGATGTCATTTGATAACAAAATATCAAACCATTTTAAAGCAAAATATTTCACAAAAGTTTTGTTTTTAAAAATATATATAAAACAATAGAAGTACTGTTAAAAATGATGACAAAAAGTAGCCTATTTGAACACTTAAATTTGTAGTTGTCAAAAATTTGTGGAAAATGTTCAGGTCAGTGAGCCTGAGGAGAAATGACTTGCATGCATCCACCAAACGATCAAACATCTAAAATAACACAGAAAAGTGAAGTTAGTTAATAGAAAAGGCTTTATTTAAATTGTTTGCAGAAGCCACACTAAAGTAAAGATTATTGGCATCGATGGTTCCATGAAGAATCTTTAACGTCCATGGAAACTTCCATCGCACAAAAGGTTCTTAGAAAAAGGCTCTAAAGATTTTTTAAATGTTTTTCAAAATGAGAAATAACTTCAGTTCCCTCAAGATTTTCCTATGGGTTTTTCAATTTAATTAATAAAATAAGGTCTGTGGTAAACAACTTGAAGATACTCCCAACCCAAACATTACGTTTATTACTTAAAAACCAAATGCTTTTTATAATAAACATTACAAAATTAAAAAATGAAGAAATTTGATTTATTTCGATTTTTTTACATTGTGATTTACTTTGTAATTTACATTGTAGAGCGAAATGTCCAAGTATTGCCACCGGCGAATTATTTTTCCGTGTTTGACATCATACCTGCTGAATTTATTGCTAAATGTTTTGTCCCTTAATATTATATAATATTTAGAATTTTATTTGATTTTTATATTTTAGTTTAAGTTTAAATATTTCTATTTTTAGTGTTATTTATCTGTTTTAGTAATTTTCTTGCCAAGGCAACATTCCTAATTTTAAATTTTTCATCTAATATTTATTTTATTTCAGCTTTATTTAATGTTTGTAAAATAGTTTTAGCCAACAACACTTTCATATACTATTAGTAAAAAATCTAATAAAATATAAAGTAGGCAGTACACAAGTTTTCCATTACAAAAATAGTTCCTCTTCCTCCATAACAGCAGGGGGCGCTGAGTAGGTGTATATTTATTCTTAATAAGTCAATGCCACAGACAGCAATGCAATGCCACTTCGTGTTGCCCAACACAGTAGATATGAACATATCCCGCAACCGACACTTAAGCAAAAGCAAACATTAGTGTACCAACATCTGTTATTACTTCGTTCAAAAACAGACTGCTACAGATATGTTGAAATGAAAATGTGTTTAGCGGCAGGAAATCAGTTCTTGGAGGCTGACGGATGTGTATTGTGGAAAGGCCTTTGTGATATTAGGGTGGGGTGGTCAAACACAGCTTTAAAAAGAAGACGCTATTCAAACTTAATGAACTTGTTTTGAATTCCTCGCCTCCCGAATGGCAAAGCATTCCATCGCTTGGAAATAGAATGAAGAACAAACAGCGGATGTGATGCAAGAAATTCTGTTCTTTATCGGGCATTCCCAGCCCTCACCTGCTAAACCAATCGCGCCCCCTTTTCCCTTCTAAAGCCTCTTCTACTTTGAGCTCTAGACCGCAGGGTACGTTTTTAGGAGGAGGAAGCCATTCATCTGAAGCGCTTGGTTCCTGTTAGAGCAGACATGGAGGATATGACCGGTTGAGGGTTTCTTGAGAGTCATGAGAAGAGGCTGCTCCTGAGATTTTATGTAATGGCGTTTCGCGACAAATCCAATCAAATTAATGGCCGTTATGTTAGATAATGCATTGTATAACTCAACTTAGGCCCATCTTTGTTTTTACTCCCAGCAATACTGGATGCAGATGTACTTGTGTGCTATTTTTGAACCTTTGCACTGCTGCAATAATCTAACTCCATCAGAACAGACCTTAAAACAACTCTTTCTTTGTTGTGTCAGAACATCTCTGTTCTTGCTCATAATTGCGTAACTGTGGGACCCATTTGTCATGCTTTTGATGTAACATTTTTCATGTTCTTGGACTTTAGAAAGTAATGTCAGGCTGGGGGCTCGCTTGGTTTGGGGTTGTGGTGTGGTGCTGGTGATCCCCTCGGTCCGTTCACGACTGGACGTGGGAGGATTTTGCTACGGGACCTATTTTTTACAGTCTATGTACGGGACCCGGTGCGGTCGCCCAGTTGCATTGTCCTAAGGACGCCCCTGTGTCTGACTACTGTAGTAATTATCATAAAACACATTTGGGAATTTCACCACACTTCATTTGTTCTTTGATGCCCCCTAGTGGTCACATTTAGGGTAGTGGGGTCGTGACCTGAAAATGGGTAGCAGGTCTGTTCTGGAAGGATTGCAGACAGCAGGCAAAAAATAATTTGAATAGTGTCATTTATATTATTATTTATATATTATTATAATATTTATTAATATTCAAATTGGCTTTTTCATTTAATGTGAATTAGGCATTTTTTTATTTCTATGTAGCTTTAATTTCAGTTGAATTTTTTCAATCTAATATTTTAGCTTTATTTTTATGACTGAAAATTATTTTAGTGTATTTAATTGTTTTAGAGTTAGTTAACAATAACAACACAGACAAATATTAAAATACATATAACATCCTTAAAAAAAACTTTAGCTGATAATTTACTCACCCCCATGTCATCCAAGATGTCCATGTCTTTCTTTCATCAGTCAAAAAGAAATTAAGGTTTTTGGTGAAAACATTACAGGATTTTTCTCCATATAATGCACTTCAATGGGAACCAAACGGTTCAAGGTCCAAAAGACAGTTTCAGTACAAACTGTTCAAAGGGCTTTAAACGATTCTAGACGATGAATAAGGGTCTATCAAGCAAAACGATCGCTCATTTAAAAAAAAAAAAATAACAAAGTTTAAGTTTTATAAGCTCAAATGGTTGCCTTGCTCTGTTCTGTGACGCACGTTCGTGACTCATTTGGACCTTGAA